ACCTTAAGAAATCACTTTCTTTGCTCATTCATAAGCAGCAACTCCTCATTTGTGGAAGTTATCATCATGAGATTGCAGCAGTTAAGTCACATCTTTAGGCTTTGCTTTTAATTCTAGTTCTCTTGCTGTTATCACCACCTCTTCAGTTACTTCCTCAACTGAAGTCTTGAACCCCTCAAAGTCATCCATGAGAGCTGAAATAACTTTTTCCAAGCCCTTGTTAATGTTGATATTTTGCCCACTTTGCATGAACCATGAATGTTCTTAATGGCATCTAGAATGGTGAATCCTTTCCAGGAAGTTTTCCATTGACTTTTCCAAGATCCATCAGAGGAATCACTGTTCATGGCAGCTATAGCCTTCTGAAGTGTATTTCTTAAATAATAAGACTTGAAAGTCAAAAGTACTCCTTGATCCACAGGCTTCAGAATGGGTATTGTGTTAGCAAGCATGAAAACAACATTAATCTTGTACATCTTCTTCAGAGCTCTTGGGTGACTTGTGCATTGTCAGTGAGCAGTAATATTTTGTTTGTTTGTTTTGTTTTGTTTTTTGCGGTATGCGGGCCTCTCACTGTTGTGGCCTCTCCCGTTGTGGAGGACAGGCTCTGGACGCGCAGGCTCAGCGGCCATGGCTCACGGGCCCAACCGCTCCGCGGCATGTGGGATCTTCCCAGACGGGGGCACGAACCCGTGTCCCCTGCATCGGCAGGCGGACTCTCAACCACTGCACCACCAGGGAAGCCCAAGCACTAATATTTTGAAAGGAATCTTTTCCTGAGCAGTAGATCTCAACAGTGGTGTTTAAATATTTAGTAAACCATCTTGTCAACAGACATGCTGTCATATAGGCTTTGTTGTTCCATTTATAGAGCACAGGCAGAGTAGATTTAGCACAATTCTTAAGAGCCCTAGGATTTTCAGAATGGTAAATGAGCATTGGTTTCAGCTTAAAGTGACCAGCTATGTTTATCCCTAACAAGAGAGTCAGCCTGACATTGACTTCTCCTCTCTAGCTAAGAAAGTCCAAGATGGCATCTTATTCCAAAAGAAGATTGTCTTGCCTACGTTGAAAATCTGTTTTTAGTGTAACCACCTTCATTCATTATCTTGGCTTATTCTTCTGGCTAACTTTCCTCAGCTTTTACATTAGCACTTGCTGTTCACCTTGAACCTTTATGTTATGGAGATGGCTCCTTTCCCTAAAGCTCATAAACCAACCTCTGCTACCTTCAGAGTTTTCTTTTGCAGCTTCCTCACCTCTCTCAGCCTTCATAGAATTGAAGAAATTTAGGGCCTTGCCCTGAATTAGGCTTTGGCATAAGAGAATGTTGTGGCTGGTTTGCTCCTCTATCCAGACAATTAAAACATTCTCCATATCAGTAATAAGGCTGTTTCACTTTCTTATTTGTGTGTTCGCTGGAATCGCACTTTTAATTTCCTTCAAGAACTTTCCTTTGCATTCACAATTTGGCTGACTATTTGGTGCAAGAGATCTAGCTTTTGTCATATCACGGCTTTCAACATGTCTTCCTCACTAAGCTTAATCATTTCTAGCTTTTGATTTAAAATGAGAGATGTGCTACTCTTCCTTCCACTTGAATACACAGAGGCCATTGTAGGGTTATTAATTGGCCTAATTTCAATATTGTTGTGTCTCAGGGAATAGGGAGGCCTAAGGAGAGGAAGAGAGATGGAGGGACAGCCAGTCAGTGGAGCAGTCAGAACGCATACATTTATCAATTAAGTTTTCTGTCTTAGATGGATGTGGTTTGTAGTGCTGCCAAACTATTACAGTAGTAACATCAAAGATCACTGATCAGAGATCACCATAAGAAATATAACAATAATGAAAAAGTTTGAAATCTAGTGAGGATTACTAAAATGTGACACAACGTCATGAAGTTAGCAACTGCTGTTGGAAAAATGGCACTGATCGACTTGCTCAATGCAGGGTTACCACAAACCCTCAATTTGTAAACAAAACCCCAAACAAACAGAAAAACACAATATCAGCAAAGTGCAAGAAAATGAGGTATACCTGTTCTTTCATATCATTTATGGGCTATTAGCATCCTTGCATTTCAGCTTGAAGAACTCCCTTTGGCATTTTGTGTCTCATAATTCATGTAGGCTTTCTTCATTCTTTTTCATTTTTTTTTCATTTTAATTGAATAGTTCCTAATGACTTGTTTTGAGTTCACAGATTATTTCTTCTGCTTGATCAAATCTGCTGTTGATGCTCTCTACTGCATTGTTCATTTCATTCATTGCATTCTTCAGCTCCAGAATTTGTTTGGCTCTTTTTTTATGTTTCTGCCTTTCTGTTGAACTCTCATTTTGTTCCTAATTATTTTCTTGATTTTGTTAAGTTGTATATATTTGTTCTCTTGTAGCTTGCTGAACTTCTTTGACACAATTATTTTGAGTTCTTCTTTGACAATTTCTAGATCTCCAATTCTTCGGGTCAGTTATTGGAAAATTATTGTATCCCTTTTGTGATGTCATGTTTCCTTGATTTCTGTTGTCTCTCGTAGAATTGCATTTGTCTGTGCATTTGATGGATCAGTCACCTCTTCCAGACTTTACAGAATGGTTTTGGTGGGGAAAGGCCTTCACCTTTGGGTGGCTGCAGAGACATTGATTGGGTGACTGTGGTTGTTCCAGCTCCAGGGCAGCCCAAGTGGCATAGTCTCCATGCAGCTCTGTCAGCTGAGGTCATCATTGGTGAAGATTGCATGCATCCTCAAAGGCCAGTACTAAGGGTATCTGCAGCTGCTGTGAGCGCTGTTGTGATCTTCAGTGGTGAAGTCTGCTGGGGACATCCTGACATCCTTTTCTACCTTGGAGGATGTCATGGCCAAGGGCATCACTTTGGGTGCTATGTTTGGCTTCAGGTACATTCACAGTGGTGGTGGCACTGATGTCTGATATGTCGCATTCATGGAACAGTGACATACCTGAGATCTGGAGCTTGGGTGCTTGTGGAGCAACCATGCCTCCAGGGTCCAGGACACTGCTCACCAACAGCTCTGTGCCTGAGGTATGGGCACATGTGGAGCAGCCATGGAGCTGGGGACTAGAACACGTGCATTTGCAGAGGAAAGTGGTTCTGGGGTTCAGGTCCACTTGCAGTGGCTCCAGTGCCTGAGTTACAGGTACTTGCAGGGCAGCTGCAGGTCTGGGGTTTGGAGCTCAGGAAAACATAGCGTGGTCACAAAGTTGGGGTCTGAAACATGGGCGTACATGGAACACCCATGGCTCTGGGGTCAGGGTCATGTATGGGTTTGGGGGTGGGGGACTGACAGCCCTGACTCCAGGGCAGTGGAACAGAAGCTTCTCATGAGGGAGGTACAGCATCACGTCTCTCTTCAGTGATCCATGGTAATCCATCATTGGTTACCTCAGTCATGCAAGCTGCTGGTGTCTCTGTGGAGCAGTCTTCTGGGGTTTGCACTGACAAACAGGGTCCTCTTTCATGAAAGCTGTAGAGAGTCTGTTGCAGAGGCTGTTCAGGTTCTCAGTGGCAAGGGTTTCCAGGGTCTTCCACAGAGCAGAGGCCACTGCAGCAAATGATGGCATCTGTTATGTGGCTAGTACTGATATCTTCTGCCCTTCCTCGTTCCTAGCCATCTTGAGATGTCTCAGATAAGCCAGCCTTCCCAGTGACCCTTTTCATGTGGTTATTCTGTTTTGCTCCACTGTGTTGCTGTAGGTTTTTAGTTGGACTCTTGAGCCCTCCCAGAGCTATTTTCTTTTGTGGATAGCTAATTATTGTATTCTGTGGGGAGATGAAAGCTGATATCTTCTACTTTGGTATCTTGCTGAGGTCATCTCCTTTCTTTATAAGGGCATTTAAAGCTATCAATTTCCCTACGGGGACTGCTTTCACTGCATTCTATAAGTTTTGATATACTGTGTCTTCATTTGCATTCATCCGAAACAGTTTTTATATTTTCTTTTGATTTCTTTTTTGACCATTAGTTATTCATAATCATGTTGCTCAATTTCCACATATTTGTGAGTTTATCAAATTTTCTTCTGTTATTTATTTCTAATTTCATTACATTGTGGTTGAAAACATACTTTGTATTATTTAAACTTTAAAACATTTATTGAAGTTTGTTTTATGGCCAGCATATGGTCTATTTTAGATAATGTTCCATATGCACTTGAGAAGAATACATATTATGCTATTGTTGGAGGGAGCCCTTTGTTAGTATCTGTTAGGTCTAGTTGGCTTCTAGTGCTGTTCAAATTTTATACTTCCCTATTGGTCTTCTCACTCGTTGTTCTATCTGTTATTGAAAGTGAGTTATTGAAGTTCCAACTGTTATTGTTGATTGTTTCTCCCTTCATTTCTGTCAGTTTTGTTTCATGTATTTTTGTACTCTGTTATTAGGTTCATATATGTTCGTAGTTGTTATATTTTCCTAATGGATTATAGATTCTATGTTCTTAGGTTTTGTAGTTAACATAGCTTTTCCCCAGATTATGGGTGTTACGCTTGATGGTTGTTTTATTGCTCGTGTGTGTGTGTGTGTGTGTGTGTGTGTGTGTGTGTGTGTACATAATTAAGTGGAGATTCAAGAGTGGGTCTTTAGAGACCACAAGTCAAACAACTGGTACTTCACGTTGGAGGTGTTTTTTTTATAGTTTTCAAAATAAGAAAAAGGTGATTCAGTTCATAGACCTACATTTAATTATATCATATTTTTTATTTGCAAAATGGTTGAGAAAGAGCAATAAAAAAAAATTAAGGTTGTAGAACATATATATTCTTTTATTCTATCAACCACACTGAGGTCTAATTAAACAACGGCTCCTACTTTAGGATGTACAGGAAATCTTGCCTCTTCTATTATGCAACTGTTTGGAATCACTGAACAACAACCTCGATAAAATCTCTCAAAGTCCTAAAAGCATTGTTGTACAACATTTGTCAAAATGATGATATTTTTCAGAGGGTTGGAATCATATTAATCGTAACATTCCTAATAGGGACAACAGTAGGGGATCCATCGTGGGACAGTATTCGGGATCAGGCCCTGGGCAAGCCATCTGAAGAAATCAAAGAATGCCAAAAACCAAAGCCAATCCTTCTTCATACTGGAGAGGTAATACATTTTGATTATCATGGTGAAATTAGTATATCGTTAATTTTACATTTATGAATTATCAGATATGAATAGTAGCTCTGTGTTGAATAGTAGATCTGTGTGTTATTCAGATGTTCCCATACCAAATTTTTAATATTAAAAAATATGGATGCTATAAGTGTAACTCTAAGAAATAAGGGTTATGATTATTAAATACACTGACTTAGAGTTTTACATCTATAGTAAATAAATGAAGCAATTAGAACAGTGGAAAAGGAAGAATAAGAGTAACATTTTTCTTATTCAGGATTTGTTTATGTTGACTCCAGGATAGGAGTGAACACAGAATTCTTTGCAGAGAAAAACATCTCAGGTTATTTTCTCACAACTCAGGCAACATTATTAAGTAAAGCAATATTCTTTAAATACTCTTTGGAAGATGAATTTTCATATTCATACAGTGTTCATACTATCATGGATTTTTGATGTAGAAAAAATTTTTAAATAGAGTTTTTTTCTAATATTTAATTAAAATTCTCCAGGAAGAAGAAAGAGAGGAAACAAAGGAATAGAGGGAAAGATTCTACTAATCTGTATATGGTAAAGGATAGATTCTCTTGGAGAAAACCTAAAAAGTAAGGCAAGACTTGGTAACTGAAGATTTAAAGTAAAAAGAAATCATTAACTTAAGCTATTCCAAATGATGGTAATTTCTTATTCATCTTGTATAAGGATAGTCACCATGGTAATATAGGAGAACACTTGGTTATCTATTACACATTGTGATTCCACAATGATAAATCCATTAGAAACTTCATTGATGAGAAAATAAGTCCAGGTTAATGGGACACTGGTATATAAGATTTACATCTTATTATTATTGAATAGATAGAATATTTAATACTACATGAATTAGAAAAGAAATAATGATATTAGGATAAGACACCCCAAAACAGCTGGAAACATTTAAAATCCTTTAATAAAGGAACTTCTATGAGCAGCGTCAGTTTCTTGACGATAGAAAGAAAAATATTCTTAACACAGTTTTCATGCTTTTGGTTCTTAGCTGTCAAAACCTCATCCCTGGCACCCAGATATAGTTGATGTTCAGATTATTACTCTTGGGTTCTTGGCCATCACTGCCATCCCTGGGGAGTTTACGTAAGTTCCTGTTTTTCTTTTTGTAGTTACACATGTAACTGTTGTGGATGTGTTTCTGTTGGGATCACTTCTTATCATGGGCAGATAATTCTGTACTGACTCCTTTGTATCCTACTGTGCTATGTTTGGCGACGGTGACAAATATTCCTACCCTCTTTTGGTGGGGCCTCTGAAGAATGAATCTCTCTCTGCCTGTTACTAGTGGGTAACTTGAAGTACACAGAAAAATTTGAAAAGTTATCATTCCAATAAAATTATGCAGTGATTTATTATGTCAGTAGAAAGACTTTAAATAATATTAAAACATAGGGTCGTGAAACAATCGATTTAGGTATTAGAAGCATGGAAGCATATTTTAAATCCGCTCCTTATGCCATATTTCCTATCTTAGTAAGTAGCAATTTTTTATCTTTTCATTGCTCAGGCCCTAAATCTTAGAGTCATCCCTGAATTCTCTCTTTTTCAGTTTTCCCTGCTTTCAATCCTTCAGCAAATTCTGTATGTTCTATTCAACAGTTTCCATCATTCTTCCCCTCCCCACCCCCCAGCCCCAACCTGGGTCTAAGCCACCATTATCTCTCCCCTGGATTTTACTGCAATAACCTCCTGTCTCACCTTCTTGCTTCTCCCTCACTCCTCTATAGTCTTTCCTCAACATTATAGACAGAGTAATCCCTGTAAAGCATAAGTCAAATCATGTCACTACTCAAAACCTTTCAATGGCTTCTAACTCTCCAGAGAAATTCTCAAACGCTTGTAATATCCGACAGGGCCCTATGTGATCCACTCTTCAGCAAGCTCTCTGATCTGATTTCATACCACTCCCCCTTGATCACCCCTGCTGCAGCCACCTTGGCTTCAGTGCCATTCCCAGACTACCAAGCACGCTTCTATTTTAGGGCTTTTGAATTTACAGTTCCTTCCGCCTGAAACACTTACCCTCCATTTATCTCCATGGCCAAGTCTTTTATTCCTTCAATTCTCTGCTCAAAACTCTAACAGAGTTGCCAGTCTTGCTTACATGATATCACATTGTCTTTACCCCCCCACCACTCCTACCACCACCACATCACTACAGCATCAGCACGAACACCACCATCCCCACAATGACCACCACCATCCTCTTTCATCCTTATCCTACCTTATACTCTCCATAGCACTTACAGTCATCTCACTTTTTTATTTGCTTGTTGACCATCTTCCCTCCCTAGAATGTCAGCTCCATACTGTTGAATCCTTAGCAGTTTGAAGTGGGTCTGGTATGTGGTAGGTGTCCAATATTTTACTGAAGGATTAAATGAATGAATGAAATAGTAAGTTCTTTGTAGGCAGGAACAGTACACTCTCTACTTGCCTCAGCTGTTATTAAATAGAATGCAACCTATTGTCGACTCAGTGAATGGAAAGTGATTGGGATCTTTTGCCAGTGATATTCATTGATTCTGTTTTCCTCCTTCAAGTTGTCTGTTTTCACTTTAGGATTTGTTTTGAAGATACGGCAGTGAGGAAAAAAGCTCAACTTTAACTTGCATTGTTTCTGTACACTTTACTATTGTTAGCCAGGCTAACATTTTGGCTTTCACTACAAGTCTTTCTGTGTACCTTGTGTACATTCTGAATAGGAAAACACTCTGATAATTCTGTTTTCTTGACTCAGGACCATGTCTGGACGAAGACTTCGGGAGGCAGTTCAAGAGGTAAATTAAAAATGAAATAAAATATCCATATGCATTTTTATTTGGAAAAGAGAAAAGAATTCCCTGTCCCTGTGATCTGGCACCTTTTAAATTATTCTTTGCGAAGATGACGAGAGTTTTACACATCTTGAAAATAACGGCTGGAGGTGAAAATGAAATATTAATGGCATAAGAACAAACTTAAAAAATATAAGAGAACTATAGTAAGATTAAAATATTTCATTTGTATTTATGTACGAATAATTTAAAAATTGATAATGGTTTTATGGATTCAGTAGTAAATGACCCCAAGTACATTAGTATCTTATAGTCCTGTGTAAATAAAAATCTAACACATGTTAAAAATGCTGTATTTTATTTATATTTGTGATTTTCTTTACATTCAGAAAGTATTGTAAATGGTTCTAAGATGACATAATCAACAAATGTTTTATTATTTGGAGCTGGAAATAACTCCTGTGGTTAGCTAATATGTTCCCATTATACTTTTTTGGAAATTGATAAAATATCTGTATTTTGGTAATAAGAAGATTCTGCATCTGCAAATGCAATCGTTAAGATGTTTGGAGATCCATTGACTTGCCCAACTGTAGTGCAGAGTTATGGCCTTAAGTTTTCCTAAGGGATCCTTAGATACTCCTGTACTCCTAGGCAGTTTAGATCATTAGGAAAAATATTGTTAAGATATTTATCTTACACTAATGATTCATATTTATAATTGTATGTTAAGTATAAGTAGGATGATAATACACTATAAGATGAAGAGTAATTTTATTGCACTCTCCCTTTCCCCCTAGGAATTTGCAACTTATGGGATGCTGAATATGACTGTTGTTATTTCGGGTCTATGCAATGTATATACACACTACATTACCACCTATGAAGAATACCAGGTAAAATTAAAAGTTCTCATCATTTAAATGAATTATACCCTGGTCAAGACTATTGCGTCAAATGCAGAATTTCTTTGTGGACTTCCTCAATCGTGTTTTTGAGAGGTGATTTTGTTTTAGGGCTGGTAAGAGAATGATAAGCCAGAGGTTGTATTTGGGAGTTCTAGGTTGACCATTTCCAAGTTCAGGTCAAAATTCTAGTCTCACTGACTTCCACTTTCTCTGAAATAAATTACTCTGTCAGGGGCACTGATAATAAGCCTGGGTTATGGCATACAACATTCCTAACTCTATCCTTAATACTTCTGGTGCCTTAAACTTCTGTAGAACCTGGGAAAAACTCCCATTGATAGCTTCTCTTTATTGAGTGCACTGGCTAAGCACCTTGCAAATGTGATCTTACATAGTCCTCACAATTAGCCCTGACTGAAGTAGGGTATTATTATATCCATGATACAGATTAAGAAACAGAGCCTCAAAAAAATTAGGGAGGCTGCTGCCTGGTAATGCGTTTTTGTTTACAAATAGTACAGAAAGTAGCCCAAGTACTTTTAAACAACAGTAGTTAAAAATGTGAAAATGGTGTAGAGTTCCACAATTAATGGTTTCTAATACATCTGCAGGTATAACTTGGCAATCCATACTGTGGCACACAGGCTACCCCTTGACAAATACTCAGTAATTCCAGCAGTAGAGTCTGCCCTGCTGCCCTCTGTTGACTTTACTGAAGGGTCCCTGCCTTCTAGGAAATCCTGTTGAATAAAGGTTCTTAACTGGGGTAAACTTAGATGTGAATAAGTTTTCACATATCCACTTTTTCATTTATCTGTAACTGTCTTTTAGCATCTCTTTCAATTATGAATGTAGGCAACAAATGACAGAATATCAGCTGTACCTCTGACTTTTGTCACCAATAGGAACCATGAATATTTTTCATATCACAAATAGTTACTGCACATCTGGAAATACCTTTTACTCTCATTGCTATTTTAAAATCACAGTAGTTATTAGATCTGCTACTAGATCTTGTTATTCAGTAGCATCATACAGAAGCACAAACATCACTCTGTTGCAAAATTTGTTTATTATTGTTTGATTTCAGTTGAATGGGTTTCCTTTGTCAATCCATGTATTTTATTTTATGTGTTTAGAAATGTTGCTCTGAAAGGGGTCCATAGGCCTCAACAGACTGCCAAAGTAGTCCAAGGTGCAAGTAAAGTTAGGAACCCCTACTAGCTAGTCTCCTGGTTAGGGACATGAAAAGATTAGTATTAATTAACTAATTAACTTATTCAGTCAACAGATATGTTTTGTGAGAGATACTGTACTAGCCACTATCTGGGCATAACAATGCCTTGCCCTCAAGACCACTAGAATTTATGGGCCAGTAAAAGACATAGAAGAAAGCAGATGATTACACTTCTGTGAAAGGGATGCACAAGGTGTTGTGAAAACGAGGAGGAAGAGCACCAGTTTAGACTGGGTATTTGAAGTTGGGGACTGGCAGATTTTCACGAAGATGTAGAATTTGTCCAAGTTATTGAGAATGAGTAAGGACTAATTAAGCAAATAAAAGTTAGGGAGGGTGTTCCATATTGAGGGAGCTACATACACGAAGGTCCAGAGGGGCAGACTTAGTATATTTAAGGGGCCATAATTAGTTGAGTACCATGGAATTAGCATGATGACGGCAGTGAGACAGGGGCTAGAGTGGGAGGCAAGGGTTAGATCGATGGAGAGTCTTTTATGCTGTGCCTCAGAGCTTTGATTCAATAAGTAAGATTTTGGGGAACTGCAGTAGAATTTAGAGGAAAGAATGCTCTGTTGAAATCTGTAATTTAGAAAGCTCACTGGGCTGGCAGTGTAGGAAATGAATTGGAAGGACAAGTGTAGAGGCAGAGAACTGATTAAGAAGCTGTAGTTATGATCTGGGTGAGAGCTAAGGGTTTGACCAAGGTAAAGCAGTAAAAAAGAGGAAAATGAAAAAATTCAAGAGATGTTAAGTAATGATGGCTTGGAGACTTATAGGATATAGGATGAAGGAGAGAGTGGGGTCTAAGCTGACTGCAAGATGATCCTGGCATGGGAGACTGGAAGGATGGCCTTCACTGAGATGAAGAATGTTGCAGGGAAAGCTGATATATTTGGAGTGATGAGTTCCAGGTTAGATTTGATGAATTGGAGGTTTCTGTGGAACAACCAAAGCCTTGGCGCTCAGGTAAAAGGAGTTGTATTTGGTTCCATTTTATAGTTCTATGATGGTTAAATGTCCTTCTCCAGATAGTTCCATCACCCCCCAGTTTATCCAGGAGTTACTAAGACTCTTATTTTTCCTCATTTTTTTCTCCTGCTGTACTCTTTGGGGGAAAACATTTATATTACAAGTACTTAAGATAGACATAAACTCAGGAGCTATTACTCTCTTTCAGGTTAACTGGATGGTTGGTCCAAATGGCATAAGCCAGGAGAATTCTTCACTGCCTTGAACAAGTAGTTGATGGGAGCCATTTACTTTTGCTGGTAAATGGAAATGCCCACTCTCCTTTGTCATAAGTAGTCTTGAATTATGTCAGTTTGGATTATGCAAGATGTGCAGTCATCACCCCTCACTAAAATGCAACACCTCTGTAAATGGATCGAAATACGCAGAATGGTATAAGACTCTGTTCTGCCTCTCCTGCAGGCTCAGCGGTATGAGGCAGCATCCACAATTTATGGACCACATACTCTGTCTGCTTACATCCAGCTTTTCAGAGTCCTTGCTAAGGCCATTGCTACGGTAATCAAAAATTGTATGTTTGTGTGTCTCAGGGGTGGGGAGATGCAGAGGGAAGCAAAAAAGACCTTAGCTTTGAGTGTTCAGTTTCTTTGAAAATCTTTATATTTAAAAATATTGTAGCTGTGAGGTATCTCTAAGAAGTGAAACTGGTAAAATAAATTCAGAGTCAGTTAACATCTTTTGGTAGTGACCATTTTTCATACCTATTATCCTCCCAATCACCTTGTGAAGTATGGAGGTATTTTTCCCCATTTTTCAGATGAGCCAATAGGTTCAGAGATGAGAAGTGATCAAGCTTACTATAACTGTGAGTTGAACCAGTGCTCTCTAATCTTGGTCAGTTTCTCTCCAGTTGCTTCCTGAATTGAGTGGTTTATCAGTTCTGAGATGCCCATTTTCCATATTATAACATCTCTGAAATTGGGATGTATTGGGTTGGCCAAAAAGTTCATTCGGTTAATGAATACGTTGTTTTATAAAGTTCTTGGTGAAAATGAAAAATGTCTTTTACTTTTACCTAAAACTGAAGAAACTTTTTGGCCAACTCAATATCTTCCAATCAAAGGAATCTTACAATTATAGTTAGTAGCATGTTTTCACTTTCTTGGTGGTTCTAATTGTATCTACCTAAAATCTGTACACCTAAATAAGTTTACTTAAAGGAACTCCACTTGTGTAAATCTTCCCTCTGGCATATAGTTTATGTATGAAGCTTCACTCTGGTGTCAAAAGATTAGTCAATAAGCAGGATAAGGACTTTAATGTGATAAATGGACCCTTGTACAATACCACATAAGCCCCAATAAAGGCTGTGAGGCAATGATGGCATAGCAAAGACAATAAAGCCCTTTCACAGAAAGAGCTTGGATATATTAAATTGAAACAAAACTGCTGTTTCTGTAGGTCAAAATAGTGAAATATGGGCAATTTCATATGTCTCCATCTAATTAGTTATTGACTGTGTATTTGAAGTTTCAGTACAAGGTATTTACTTCAGATATATTTTAATTATCAGGTTATTGTTTTATCATAATATTCTTTTCAATTTTAGGTCTGATAATTTTTTAAAAAACAAACTATTTTTAGTTTTCATCATAAAAGCTAACTATTTGTAGAATATTCAGATTATACAGAAAAGTATAAACCTCTAACCCATCTCTAGAGATAACCACTGTTTAACTTTCATGCAATTACAGGTTTATAGCTCTTCCCATGGAAGTAGAGTCATCAAATTCTATAGTGATATTTAGGAAGAAAAGTGTGATTCATTTTGTGGAAATTTGTTTCAGAATTTTACAGTTACGTGTCTAAGAATATCTATGTGATCTTGAAAAAAAAAAAACCGCTGAGTATCTGTAAGCTTATCTTCCCATTTGCAAAATGAGAATGATAACGAGTAGGTTATGTGGCTGCTGTCAAGATTAAACATATAAAGCAAGGATTAAAGTACATCAAATCCATATGAGGACTATTTAAAATTTGAGATTAGAATTTTGGTGACACTATTAAAGGTGGCAAATTTTGTGGAAAGTATAGATTAAACCAGTCATGATACAGGCTGGTCTTAACTTTTAAATTAAAAATATATTTATTATATTCTTTAATGAGCACAGAGAAGGATTTAGGAAAAAACTTGGTAGTGACCTTGGATAAGAGAGACTCAACACTTTTTAAACCTTAGAAGAATAATTACAGTGTCATGTTACAGAGGCTTATCATGTGTTTCTCTCCAGAGTCATACAGTTAAAGAATGGCTGTCCCAGAATCTAAACTCGTGGAGCATGATTCCTAGCTTACACTCTAGATTATACTGCCTAGGGGAGTGAAAGTGTTACCTGTGACTGACACTTTCTTCTAGTCACAAAAGTTAAAATTATGGACATCTAGGCTCCTATTTCAGCAGAGTTCCCCTCGCATTTTGTTGCAGTTGTTAGCTCTTGGGAAGAGGGAGAGGGAGTGGGAAAGTGAGTGTGTATGTGTTTGCTTTAATGAAGGCATTTTTGGGGATCTGGGGGGAAGGGTCTTGACTCTACATTGTATGCTTCTTAAGCAAATGCTCTCTGTTCTAGGATACAGTAGCCAATCTGAGCAGCGGTCCAGAGCCTCCATTTTTCAAAGACCTGATGGCCCCATTAATCCCTAATGCTGTGGATAGAGCGCCTGTAGGCACAACTTTTGGGGATGTCCTGCAGCCAGCCAACCCTAAATACAGAGTGGTAAGACTCGCAAAGAGGTCTTGGGATCCTTCAGAAGACTGTGTGGGGATGGGGGGAAAGATGTTTAATGTCACCACCTGCCTCGAATCATGCCTCGGACCAGCTGTTAGCAATAATTTAGAAAATTGTTCTTATCTCTGCAGAGGCTCTGAAAACATGAAAATGGGGAAGTATTTATTTTTCAGTTGGTAATTGTGGAAAATTGAATTTCTAAAATTCAAATTATTCCTTTTCTTTTTAAAGGGATTGTCCTGGAACCATTCATTGTAGCATAGAAAAGTTGTCTATGATATGTCAAGGATAGGAAAAGCACATAGAAATGAAACAGGATTTCTACCACTACTATCTGATATAGAGCTTGTGTCTTGCAACTTTGCTAAATCATTTATTAGTTCCAATAGATATTTTTGGTGTGGATTCCTTAGAAATGTCTATGTATAGTATGTCATCTGTGACTAAGAACAGGTTTACTTATTCCTTTATGAATTTCTTTTGTGGATGCCTTTTAATTGTTTCCTTATTGCACTGGCTAGAGTCTCCAATGCAATATTGAAAAGAAGTTGTAAGACTGGACATCCTTATCTTGTTTCTAATCTTAGGAGGAAAAGTATTCAGTCATTAAGTATAATGTTTTCTTTAGAATTTTTGTAGATGCCCTTTATCAGGTTAAAAAAATTCCCTTCTGTGTCTAGTTTGTTGAGAGTTTTTATGAAGAAAAGGTGTTGAAGTTTTTCAAATCTTTTTCTGTGTCTACTGAGGTGATCATGTGGTTTTTGTTTTTTATTCTATTAATAGGGTGTATTGTATTGGTTGATTTAAGATATTAAATAAATACCCTTTAGTAATGGTATATAATACTTTTTACATGTTGTTAAATTTGGTTTGCTAGCATTTTTCTAAAGAGTTTTGTACTCATGTCCATGAGGGGCATTTGTAGTCTTCTCTTCATGTGTCGTCTTTGTCTGCCCTTGGTATCGGGGTGACACTGGTCTCAGTAAAGGATTAGAAAGTGTTTCCTCTTGTATTTTCTGAAAATGTATGCAAAAGATTGATGTTATTTCTTCCGTAAATATTGGATGAGGTTTACCAGCAAAGTCATTTGAATTTGGGCTTCTTTTTATGGCAAAATTTTAAATCACTAATTCAGTTCCTTTACTCGTTTTAGGCCTATTCAGATTTTCTGTTCTTGAGTCAATTATGTGTCTTTCTAAGAGTTTACTTTGTATTTAGGAATTTTCCCATTTCATATAATTGTCTAATGTGTTGGGATAAACTTGTTCATAATATTCCTTTATAATTCTTTTAATTTCTGTAAGGTCAATAATGATGTCCCCTCCTTCTGCCTGATTTTGCTGACATGTCTTCAAAGAGCCATCTTTTAGCTCCATTGGTTTTATCTGTTTTTCCATTTCACTGATTTTTGCTCTAGTGTTTCATTTCTTTCCTTCCGCCTGCTTTGATTTTATTTTGCTCTTCGTACACCCTCTTCTTTTGCATTTCTTAAGGTGGATGCTTAGGTTATTTTTATGTTTTAGTGTCCTTTTTTAATTCCTCTGTTGGTTTTTTACTATGTACATTTTTAGCTGTTTTCCTGGTAGTTATTTTAGGGACTTGAAAAAGAACTCTGTTTCTTCTCTTTACACTCCACTCTCAATACTTCTGACAGCAGATGTGTGGAGGTTTCCACCCACCAAGTAACTCTCCAGTTCTCTGTGGACACCAATTTGATGTCCTACAATTCAATTCAATTCTGATGGTATTTACTTGGGGTTGGCACAGATCCCACAGGTTAAGGGCTCAGTCCCACTAGACTGCACCCTCTCCCTCACCTCCCGCTCCCCATACACACATATTTCAGACACCAGTGGCAAATCCAAGTTGTCACGTGTGCTTCTAACAGCCTGGCTATAAATTGGAGATTCCCATGTCCTCCTCCTCAGGTTTAATGACTTGCTAGAATAGCTCACAGAATTTAGGAAAATAGCTTACTTACCAGATTACCAGTTTATTATAAAAGGTTACAACTTAGGAACAACCAGTGGAGAGATGCATAGGGCAAGGTATGGGGGAAAGAATGCAGAGCTTCTTCAGCCATGCCACCTTCCCAGAGTCTCCACATATTCACCAGCCTGGAAGCTCTCCAAACCGAAAACTTTAGGGATTTTTGTGGAGGCTTCATTATGTAGCCATGATTGACTAAATCATTGGCCATCGACAGTTAACTCAACCTCCAGCTCTTTTCCCTTCCCTGGAGATCAGGGGGTTGGAGTTGAAAGTTCTAACCCTCCAATCACAGCGTTTGTTTGCCCCCATTCTGAGGTTATGCATAAGTCTGCAGCCACCAGTCATCTTAATAACATACAAAAGACACGTTAGCGGAGATTCCAAGGGTTTTACGAGCTGTGTGCCAGGAAATGGGAGCAGAGACCAAATATATATATATGTATATTTATATCTCACGTCACAGAGCTATAATACGCATCTTAACTAACCACAACCGATTTTAATATAATACTAACTTAATTCTAAAAAATACAAAAAGATTCTTCCCAAATGTCTTTTTTCCCTTTCCCATTTTTGGTGATATTGTCACATATTATATCTACATGTAAATGTAATAATACAGTGTTATAATTATTGTTTTATAAAAGCTTATGTCTTTTAAAGACATTAAAAAAATCTATGAAAAAGTATATTTAGGGCTTCCCTGGTGGCGCAGTGGTTGAGAGTCCGCCTGCCGATGCAGGGGACACGGGTTCGTGCCCTGGTCCAGGAAGATCCAACATGCTGCGGAGCGACTGCGCCTGTGAGCCATGGCCGCTGAGCCTGTGCGTCCGGAGCCTGTGCTCCGCAACGGGAGAGGCCACAACAGTGGGAGGCTCGCGTACTGCTAAAAAAAAAGTATATTTATAGAAAAATTTTATTTACCTACATATTTACCAGTTCTAGTACTCTTTATTTCTTTTTAAGAATTTGTATTATCATCTAGCATCATTTTCTTTCAGCTGGAAGGACTTCCTGTAGTATTTCTTGTAAGACAGTTATACTAACAACAAATTCTCTCAGCCTTTGTTTATCTGGAATGGATTTATCTTATCTTTGAAGAATGGTTTTGCTGCATTCTTGATTGAAAATTTTTTTTCTTTTATTACATTGAATATGTTATCCTGTTACTTTCTGTACTTCACTCTCTAATGGAAAGTCAATTGTTAATTTTATTGTAATTTCTCTGTAAGAAATGAATCACTTTTGCTGCTTTCAAAATTTTCTTTTTGTCTATGTCTACCACTAGTTTGCTACAATATATCTAAATGTGAATCACTTTGTGATTATCCTACTTGGAATTTGTTGAGTTCCTTGGATCTATAAGGTAACATTCATCAAATCTGGGAAGTTTTCAGCCATTATTCCTTCAAAAAGTTTTTTGTTCCTTTCTCTCTTTCTTCTAGTTTTGGAACTTCTGTTTTGTGAATGTCAATATACTCGGTGTTGTCCCACATGTTTCTGAGGCTCTGTTAATTTTACTTCAATCTTTCTTTCCCTCTCTATTCTTCATATAAGATAATTTATGTTGATAAATTCTAGTTCACTTATTCTTTCTTCTGTCATCTCACATTTGCTGTGAAATCCCTCTAGTGAATTTTTCATTTCAGTTGTTGTGATTTTCAACTCCAGAAAATTCTCTTCACTGTGTCTTTGTTTGTTAAATCATTATCCTTTAGTTCTTTAAACCTGATTTATATTAGTTCTTAGAACATTTTAATAACAGCTCCTTTGAAGTCTTTGCTAAATCTAACATCTGAGGACACAGAGAAGCAGTTTTGATTGTTCCTTTTTTCCCCTTAGTATGGGTGATACTTTCTTGTATGTACATCTCATTTCATTGTTGTTGTTGTTTGAATACTGCATGTTTGTTGATATATTGTAGCAACTCTGGATTCTAGCTTCACTTCCCCACCCCAGAGTTGTTATTTTCGTTTCTTTGTTTGCTCATTTAAAACTTGACTGGACTAATTAGTAAAGTCTGTCTCTCTTACAGTGTATGGCTGCTATATCTTTGCTCAGGTTTTTATACTTGATTTTAAGTCTCACTCTCAAGTGTTGCTTCTGTGATCACAGAACTTAATGTTCAGCTGGATATTGTTCAGAGTTTGTATTTAGGTGGCTCAAGGAGTAAGAATTTCAGTCTCTGCTGATGGAACTGTGTGGGCTAGGGTATGCATTCAAACTTCAGACCATTTTCAGTTTTCCCCAAATTTTAATTTCCACTGGGATCTCTTATATCTCCTCTGCACATACATCCAGACATTAGCCAGGGATATATGGGTGGTTTGGGCCTGCTCTCTTCTCTGTGTATGATCATAGCCTCTGATTAGTCCAGGATAGGATAAGAGCTTATTAAAACCATGACAGTTATCTTCCCCACAAACTATTAAATCACCAATTACCAGTCTAGCCACTATCCCTCAATGTTTGCCTTCCACTGAGATCACCACTTTAAATGGCTATGTTCCAAATTAAGTAAGTTCCTTCTGGCAGCAGCAGAAAAGCTGTTGATTTTATGGCCTTCCCTGCTCTGGTTGAAATATAGTACTACAGAGGATGAGAGCAACCCTGGTAAGAACACCAAAAACTTCCACTGTGCTTACCACTAAGTTTAGTAGTTTTAATGAACAAACATTTCTCAGCTTTTGGTTGATAATTGAAGTGCTAAAATGGTTATTTTTAGAGTTACATATGATCCAGCAATCCCACTCCTGGACATATATCCAGAGAAAACTCTAAAATGATATAGGCACCCCAGTGTTCACAGCAGCACTATTTACAATAGCCAAGATATGGAATGGAAGCAAACTAAATGTCCATTGACAGATGAATGAATAAAGAAGATGTGGTATTATATAATATACAATAGATACTACTCAGCCATAAAAAAGAACGAAACAATGCCATTTGCAGCAACATGGATGGACCTAGAGATTATCATACTAAGTGAAGTA